TCCCTGGAGGTATTTAAAAGACGGGTAGACGTGGTGCTTGAGGACATGGTTTAGTGGTGGACTTGGCAGCAATAGGTTAACGGTTGGACTCAATGATCTTAACGGTCTTTTCCAACCCTAACGATTCTGCTATTCTATGATTCTATGAATAGCATATGAAAGTAATTAGCTGAACCCAAGCTTCCAGGCTTTTTGAGAGGCAGTGTGTATTAGCATGGGCTTGGTGCTTCAGTGTCTGCATTTGCACAGTTTCTCTCAGCTCAGAATACAGGTAGACATGGGGTTGACTTGTGATTTTTTATGCATGATACCATTTGCTTATATATACTGGTATGCAGAGACATGTGTGTTTAGAATTCCCAAGGAGAAAAGAGTGCTCATAGTCACTGCTGTTTAGCTATGTCATTTATTAGCTGTCACATGATTTGAATGTATCCAATATACCTGCATTTGAAAGAATACAAAATACAGAGAATATGTCCAACTGTCAGGAGTACAAGAATTTGCAAGTTTTGAAGTGGTCCCATTTGAACACAAAACCTCAAGTGATTCATGCAGCTGTGTGCAAGGTGGCATATTCTTCATTGACCTTTCTTTCATAGCTTTTAGCCATGTGATGGAAGCCTGGCAAGGAGAACGTGTTCCTTGTATCTCTGATGTCTGCATTATCCTTAATTTTGGTCACCTGCAGCAGAGTGCTCAAATTTTCCACAACACCGTATTATGGTGCTGGACTAAGTTACAGAGGATTAAGTCTAAACCAAGAAAGAAACACTATGAAATGCTTAATAAATTTTATTCTTTTCATTGTTCTAGCATACACATAATTTCATTCCAGAAACTTTGTGTTAGAACTGATTTGTGCATAACTATCTTTGAAGGGCACTGGGGAGAAAGACTGATGGGAGTGCCATCATTTCCTCCCACTCTGTAACCCAAGGACATACCCATCTATTTCCTACTCTTGTCCATACACCTGTTTCTCTGGAAACTTTTGTTTAAAGCACAGTATTGGACATTGGAAGAACTCCCAGTTTTCTCTCCAGTTTCTTTCCTTTTTATGATATTACAAATCTGTCCCTTCCCATGCAATGTGGAAGTTAACTGCAGCAGTTGCCAGAGGGATGAGGTTAAATGCAGAGCTTCAGTAATATGCTTTATACCCTTAAACCTTGTATATTAGACTAGCTTCTTGGTCTATACTATAGTGGCATTAAAGGAATACAGCACTGCTTGCCTCGGAGAATCAGATAGCAGGACTTGATTCTTCATAGACGTTTTACAAAGCTAAATTCTTTCATAGAGGTAAGTGTTTTCATCCCTTGGCAAGGAAGTGATATGTCTGTTTCTATATATGAACATTCATGTGTGGTGTGCGTACACCATAAAATCTACACGAGTATTACAATGATTTTCTCACCATCTCTATAACGTCTTAACTTGCAGTGTATTTTGGGATCTCTACTGTGCAGCTCCAGAAAGACGAGAAACATGTGAACATTCAAGTGAAGCAAAAGCCTTTCATGACTATGTAAGTTTTGTGTGTCTTTACCACGCTTTCATTAATTCTATGTATAAATGTGATAGAGAAGTATTTCTGCACTACGGTGGCTCAAAAATGCAGGTGTCAGTCATATATAAGTAACTCAGTTTTCTGGGGATGCCTGGGAATTAAGACTTCCTAATTCTGTGATTACACAGCACCATATGGAAAATTCCTGGAAGCCATCTCAGAGATCAAAGTGCTGTCCCATGTGTTAATGAAGAATGAAGAATGTCCTTCTGTCCCCCCCACCATGGACACATCAGGCTGGTCACAAAGGCACAGGGCAAATGGAAGCCCAGATATGTCCTGTCTAAATATCCGTACTCTGGTGCTAAAGAAAAAGCTGTTCAGTAGGTGGAATTAATCACCTGGCTTCTGTCAGGACCATACTGACTTAAAGTGTGATTGTTCTTCAGGTATTTTTGTATCCTGAAGTAGGTATTTTTCATCAGCATAATAAACACTTAAGCATCATGGAACAAGTTAAATGCAAAATGATCTGATCCAAGAGAACAGGCGGAATAAAGGGCAAAAGTATTACGCCAGTTTTGATGCCTTTGAGACTTAGTTCAAAACACAGCAGGGAGTTTGGTGGTGTTTTGCCTGCAGTACTACTATTAAAAAAATATTCTAGAAACTAGAGTCCAAAACATTATAACAGTTTCATTCCGTTTTCATTCTCATAATGTAAATGGAGCTCTCCAGAAATGCAGAACTGCGTTCCAGAGTTAGGATGGAATTTTAGTTCCTTCTACTATGTCAGCCCCTCTCCATCTGGTGATTTCATTTTTGTTGACAAAATCCTTAGGAGGCAGACCACTATTGAGTTTATCATTCCTTTGGGCCATTGATGTAGTCTAAAGGGGGAGTATAACTCTCACGATACAACTTTGAAGCCTCTTTCCTTGAGTTTTTTCCAGGTCTGTCTTAGAAATACTGTCTAGTTACTGCAGAAAAATATTTCTACAGATGAAATTAGAATCAGACTGCCATAGCCCAGTGTCTTTCTTACAAAAACTCAGTTCTGTCTACATTATGATGTGTATTGTCATAATTCAAAAAAAAATGAGAAAATACTCAAATGAGTTCTGTGTGTGATACAATTTTGTGATTGTCTGAATGTTTAAGTTACTGTATAAAGTCACATTTGATGAAGGAAAAACAAAATCATGGTGTGCTTCTATATTCACATCAATCTGTGTTAAGAGAGGATGAATGTTTATTTTAGAAATAAGTTGGTTTATTTTAGAAATTAATTCACCAGCTATTTCTAAAACACATTCTCAATCTTTTCAGGTGACAGAAAAGCTAGCTTTTGCATTATTTCTGTCACAGTTGAGATAAACTCATCTAATATCTAGCAAGACTTATGGTGTTCCTTAGTATCATATGCTTTTTGCTTAGTAAGACAGTCTGCACCATGATATGTGCATACTTTTGAAATCTGACATGTATTTAATATTTTCTGAGTGTATGGTACACTCATATTAAAGAACATGACAAAATCATTGTAAAATAAAGCCAAGCATATTTCACAGCACAGGAAGATGAACATTTATTAAGTGAAATCCTGACCCATGTAGTGTTTTGCCATTGACTCCAGAGGGGTCGAAATACTATCGTCAGTGAAGACCATCAGAGAGCCAGTTGCTGGATTCTGGCTTCTCCATCAGGCTGAGGGGTCTGGTAAATGAAAACCCTGCTGTTAAATTGCAGGTCAAGTAATAGAGCATTTGTAGCTGTACTGTCATATCTGAAAACTGTAATTGCCAAGTACAAAAAGCACAGAAGGCTTGTTTATTAATTCATACTAGCAATTAAGAATTTTTTATTAGGTATGTGTTCTACTTGACCAGAATAATCAGTCTTCATGAAGGTGTGAGTAATCTGATCTGGTTACACCATACGTGTCATGTTTAACACTAAGTAGGCTGAATTAGCTGAACCAATATCTTGTCTGTCTTTGCTCTTGTGAAGAGAGAAAGTTTTAAGAATGTTTGATGGAGGAGGAAAGCATTTGCCGTCGATTTAATGATTTGTAAAATACTGCTGCCTCAGTCAACATAGTTGCGAGTCAGTCTGGAACACACATAGGTGGACTCATAAAATTAATAGATACAGAAAGATATGGGTTTTTTAAATTTTACTCAAAGTTTTACAATATCTTAACTTCAGTTGCAAAAATAATGCCATTTGATTTCTGCCCCCTGCCCCCACCTCTGGACAATGCTTTCTTGAGAGATGAGGTTTACGTCATTATTTACTCTGCCATAAGATTTCAGTATGTGCTTTGCCTGTCGTTGAATACAATTAAATATTTGCAGCTGGACTTCGTACACCTGCAATATACTCGGGTGGGAAGGCTATCAGGACCCTTCTTCGACTCTGTCTATAGTGCTGTCCTGAAAAAGAATGCATACGGAGTTCCCTCTAATATCAACTCTGCCTAATCAAGTACACCGAGCCCTAACCTGTGTGTGCCTATCAGTCTGTGCAACTGAGTCTGTTCTTGACTATTTGTGTAAAACAAAAGTAAAAACAAATTCTTTTAGGTAACTATTATTTAAATTTTCTGATATATATGTGTGTACAGGTTTCTTTATAGTAGCATCCCCGTTCTGCAGAGAAAGGGTTTGGAAGTACTATTTCATTGTGTTCAGATTGTACTAATACAACTTTGATTTTTATAGAGCTAGTGAGAGGAGAAGAATCTTTCATGTCTGACAGCAGGAACATGAAGTGACTCTCAAGGTGGAGGCTGTAACTCCTTGCAGTACTAACAATGTTCATCTTACTAAAAATCCAATAAATAGAAAAGCAAAGGCCTGTTCTGGCTTTAAAAAGAAGATTTTCTGTGCTTATGCTGAGGTTAAGTATTTGCAGCTCCTCCATATTATGTAAAACGGATTCTATTTTTATTTTCTATTGAGATTTGCAATTGCAAATATTTTCTTCTGAGTGAACAAGGTTCTGAACTCATTAGGTACATTTATTTAATATACTTTAGGCTTCAAAAGACAGATGCATGTCGTGAAAGTGCGTATGCTGGCCTTGAAGTTTTAATGTAAATTATTTAGAATTAGAAATTGTTTACATTTCAGGTAACTCGGGAAAGAAAACTGCTGCTTGCTCACCTAGCCTATTAATATTGCAGGCATTTCAGTAGGAGTAGCTTATTTGAAGCAGAAAAGCCCCCATGTTTCTTTTCCAGGTACCTATTACTTTTCTTGGAGGAAAACTTCTCCATGCTTTGAAGTCTTGTGAAAAATCATTTACATGGATGCTCTGACACAAAATTTAGTCTTCACTGTAGAATGGTGGGTTTTTCTTTCTCCACAGTGTCCTAAGGAGATCTCTTAATCTCTCTAGTTAAGATCTCGTTTCTCTGGGTTTTGAACTGAGATTTTTCTGTTGAGAGAAGCGAGGTTCCAACGTGCATCTTGTTCCTGCCTTCTTTCCACTTCTTTACAAGCTGAAAACGTATGGGGTCAAAAGGGGAAATAAAACCTTGTGATTCCTTGGAAAAGAATGAATTTTTAGCAGCACCCCTACCAATGAACTTCTGACTGCCACAAGTGACCATTCTCCTCTTCCTCAGTCCTGGCCATTTATTCACATCTCTGGGTTTGGAGGGGTGGTACCTGAAAAGTCCTTTCTTACAAGATGATTTTGGTCCATAGCAGTTAAGATCCTTTTACAGTCCAGAAGTTCCTGTGCCTCTCTCACCTTCCTTATAGTGGAAGTTCTTCCACGTGGTGTTGGTGCAAAGCGGAATCTATTAATTCTCACAAGTAGCTATAGTAAAATCTTGATTATTTTCCAGGTAAAGTTTTATTAGTGTCTTCTCCACAGTTCTTTGAAAGATCACTTTTTGTATAAGTGAGGGTCTGTTGTTGGTTTTTATGGCTCCCAAAAGAATGCCAGGTAATTTACAGGATAAGAAAAAAGACACATTCATTGCCCCAGAGGCTGTACAGTCTCATAAGCTGGTATCACATTTCCACCTGACTTGTTAGCACGTTTTAATAGTGAGCTGTATGACAGGGAGCTTAGCTTTACGTGAAGGTTGTAGGGTATGTTAAAGACTATGCTATAATCAGTTCTGTCCAGATTATTCCTTTTGAAAGTCATAGTAATATAAATAAAATTTTTCTAGAAGTTATTGGGCATAGTGTTTGGACATTTGAGATGGCTGATCAATCTCTTTGTGAGTCTTTCATAAGAACAGGTTGAGCCTCTGCATTTATTGCTGTATTTTATGGGAAAAAAAATTACCACTTTCTTCTCTGGACCCATCTTCCTTCAGCAGAACTAAGAGGCACTTGCCTGCCCTAAATGCCCCAACCCCCCTAATTTATCATTAGCAGTACCCAGAATTTGAGGGGTTATGAATATTTTTACATCTTTTTTGGACTGAAGATTACCATGAAAGGCCTGTGAGAAGATGTTCTCGGAAGGCATCATTAAATGTTTGTTGAAAGTGACCTTAAATCTCAAGCTCTTATGTTCCCATAGCACAGCTGTTGATTCTACAACAAGGACTGCTTTATTCTAGTTTCATTAAACTACCCTTTTTTACTCCTAAAACCTACACAGAACTGTATTTTAGGTGAAGATTTTTGTTGATCTAAGCATACGGAAGCTTATTCTGTTCCAGGATAATTTTTGAAAATGCATTTTCTTGTTGTATTTCCCAGGTGGTCTGAGTTCAAGCTTAACAGCAGTCACCATCTTTTCCAGGCAGTCTGTCACAGGACCTCCTTCTCTGCCTTTTGTGTATCAGAGATGAAAGAACTTGTTTTAGGTGTTGATTTTCCTGCCTTCCCTAGCTTTTGCTACTGTGATCTTCTGCAGGCAGTCTAGCTAGGGCAGCTTGTGCTTCTAGATCCTCCCAGGTTTCTTGCTGAAAATTGAATTCTAGATCTGGTTTCCAGCTGTCTGTTTCCGTGGAGAATGCATGGTAACCCCTTTTGCTTAAAACAAAC